CTGGGAATCACGGCCTAGCCAAATTGATATACTCAGTTTTGGGGGGACACAATTCAATCCATGACAATGGGCATTTAGTTTGTTTCCACTTTTTGGCTATTTTGAATAGCGCTGCAATGAACACTGGTGTACCTATCTCTTTTGAGTCTTTGCTTTCAAGTCTTTCGGATATATACCTAGGAGTGGAATTTCTGGGTCATAGGGTAGTTCTATTTTTAGCTTTTTGAGGAACTGCCATACTTCTTTCCACAACAGCTGTACCATTTTGCATTCCTACCAGCAATGGATAAGGGTTCCAATTTCCCCACATCCTTGCCAACATCTGTTATTTTCTGCTTTGTTTTTTTTTTTTCTTATCTTAGCCACCCTAGTGGGAGTGAAATGGTATCTCATTGGGGTTTTGATTTGCATCTTTCTGATGGGTAATGACACTGAGCAGCTTTGGTGTTTGGTGGCCATTTGAATGTCCTCTTTGGTGAAATGTTTATTCAAGTCCTTTGCCCATTTTATCATTGGGTTATTTGCCTTTTTATTGCTAAATTGTTGAAGTTTTATATACATTTGGGTTATTAGATTCTTGCTGGATATATGGTTTTTGAAGATAGTCTCCCAGTCAGTAGCTTTTGCCTTTTCACTTTTTTGGTAAAGTCTTTTGATGAATTAAAGTTTTTAGTTTTTACGAGGTCCCATTTATTTATTTCGTCTGTTGCTGTTTGTGCTTTTGTTATTATATTCGATAATCTATTGCTGAAAGCTAGGCCTGACAGCATTGCCCCTGCTTGTTCCTCTACTAAATTCTATTTTGATTCTTACTACGCATACGCTTACTAATGATGCCTTAGTGATTTTTAAACATATCAATCTATTCAATGGCCTTGATTAATATTATTTATACTTTCAACTCCAATGAGTCCCTTAAAGCCCCTGAACCCAAAGCAACACAGTGGTACCATCAGCTTAGTTTCATTGTTCTTAAGGGAAAAATGAGAAGTGAGGATACAGAAGAGGTAAGTGCACCGGGCCTGGCACACTGTAGGCTGCTTATGTACTTACATTGTACCCAGCAAATACAAGATTACCATTTACAAATGGAGAAACTGAGGCAGGAAGAGTAACATTTGCACCAGTAGTAACATTAGCAGAACAAAGATTAGCAGGGGGAAAAAATAACTTGTTATATGAAGTAATCTCTCACTTGGACTAATTAACATCCGAACTACCATTTAAAGAGTAGAACCAGGAAGAGTCTCTAAATCTTAACAAATAAGCATTCCCCAAATTCAAACACCAAGTTTCCAATTTTGTACCACAAAGGATTTATCTTTTCCTACTTAATGATTCAAAATCATGAAGACCAACCCCCCATCCCAAGTAAACCATAAACCTCTGACACAGCCAGAGACCAACCTAAAAACCCACTGTTAGAGATAGATGGCAGAGTTTTCTTTCACTTATGAAAACCCTCATTTCTAGCTGGCCATACCACAGCTGGCAATACTTCAGCACTGATTTAACTAGTTGGGTCTTTTTAAAATCGGAAACAACAGTAGGACCTGACCTTGCCAAGCTTTAACCACCTAGGATGGTGTCATGGATTGAATTATGTCCCCCCCAAAAACGTGTGTATCAATTTGGCTGGGCCAAGATTCCCGGTATTGCGTGATTTTCTTATATGTTGTAAATCCTGCCTCTATGGTGTTATGAGGGAGGATAGGCAGTAGTTGTGTTAGTAAGGCAGGACTCAGTCTATAAGACTGTATTGTGTTCTGAGGCAATCTCTTGAGATATAAAAGAGAGAAGTGAGCAGAGAGACATGGGGCCCTCATACCACCGAGAAAGCAGTGCCAGGAGCAGAGTGTGTCCTTTGGACCCGGCGTCCCCACATGGAGAAGCTCCTAGTCCAGGGGAACATTGAGGAGAGAAGGCCAACAGAGAGAGAAAGCCTTCCCCTGGAGCTGACACCCTGAATTTGGACTTTTAGCCTACTTTACTGTAAGGAAATAAACTTCTCTTTGTTAAAACCATCCACTTGTAGTACTTCTGTTATAGCAGCACTAGATAAGTAAGACAGATGGCAAGCTTGCCCTTCTTGGATATTCTCTACCTTACACGATGCTGTGGACCTCCCAAGTCACTGGTTCATGCTCCATCCTCATGCAAGGGCAGAAATCTTATAGTGGGGGCAGAATTAGTTCAAAAGTCAAAGTGCAGTTGGGGCTAGTTCTCTACGCAAAGAACTTCAGATTTACAGGTAGATTTTCTTTACTGCCGAACTAGTTCTTATTAGCAGATGTGTGCAGGGAGAAAGAGAGAAAGTCATTGTTGATTGTAATTAAAGCTAATTCAAGGAACAGGAATAAGCAAATAACTTCTGGGTTTAAAAAAAAAAAAGTTGTCGTGGAGTCCACTCTGTTTCATGGCAACCTCATGTATGTCAGAGTAGAACTGTGCTCCATAAGGTTTTCAGTGGCTGATTTTTCAGAAGTAGATAACCAGGCCTTTCTTCCAAGGTACCTCTGGGTACCTTTCATTTAGCAGCTGAGTGCAGTAACCTTTTGAACCACCAGGGAGGGACTCTAACTACTGGGTAATGTTTAGAAATTCCCTAACATATTGGTAGCTTTCTCTTAAAACAGCTCAAAAAGCTTCAGAGAAATGATAACATTCCTGTGAAACAAGGATAAGATTAGCCTGTTACATATGGAAAACCTAAAGCTGGATTGAGTTTATACTAAGTATTAAGACCCAGAACTTTTTTAATAGAAGTCACTGGGAAAGCCAAGGGTAAGGCAGCCCAGGGCAAGCTTGAGTCCCGGAATTAGAGGGAGTTCCACTGATATGAGAACAAATAAGGCAGATCAGGACTGACTACAGAAAGGAAAAACAAACAAAAGCAAGGTTACTCCATCTGGTTTCAAGCCAAATAAACCCTCCAACCCTAACCAAAGCAAACGAGAATTGCTTTTCTACAGAACACATCAGAGCATGGTTTTGATATTTATTTTGCCACGGTTACCCTTGATGCTCATTTTAATCTAAAAAGGAAAAGGAAACAAAATGATGTTTTGTGATAGGGCCAAAACTGCCTCAAGAGACAACTCCAAGTACTGTATCATAATGCTGTCACATAAAATGCCTCCTTTAGGGGTAGGGTAGTTTCCCGGGATAATGTAATTCAATGGTTAAATTTTGGAAAGGGCTGCACAAGGGAGAGAGAGCTTTGTAGCCAAAGAGACGGGTCTGACTCCAGCCTCTGGTACTTATTAGCTGGTTATGGTATTCAAGAAGTCCTAATTCCTGAGTCTTATTTTTTTCGTCTTCAAAATAGGAGTAATAATAAGTACTTTGCAGGGCTCTGCTAAGAGGCGGAGATAACTTATATAAGTGGTTGGTACACTGTAAAACCCAAACCCGTTGCCGTGGAGTCGATTCTGACTCATAGAGACCCTATAGGTACACTATAGACACTCAGTAATAGCTATTATTTATATAATGAATCCCTACAAAATATAGATGCTGTTCAGTGATGTGGAGATACAAGATGAATGTTCTTCTAGCAGCAAGTGGTAAAATTCCTTTATGTGCTCCATTTTCAAAATTCTTTTTGTACATCATCTCTTTTTTGCCTGTGAGGAATACAGGGCAAAAAATTAAAATGTACCCCGAGAGTATGGCCCCGGGACGCCCTTTTAGCTCAGTGGTGAAGTCACTTCTGAGTTTCACTGTTCAGCCGGGGATTGGACAGCCTCATAAAACAAAACGGGACTAATGAGGCACAGCAGTCCAGGGACAAGGACTAGAAGGCAGAAGGGGACAGGAAAGCTGGTGATAGGGAACCCAAGGTTGAGTAAGGACAGTGTT